AACCAATAGGAGATGCTGAATAATGAGAATTTCATCTTAAACCACACCAATCCTGGCAACTTGTCCATGGCAAAAGCAGGAACCAATACAAAAGACTCGCAGTTCTTCCCCTGCACCATCAAGCTGACAGGTTGGAATGCAAGCACAAAGATTTTGGCATGAAAAGGGACCTGCATATCGTGGAAGCCAGGGAGCATTCTGCATCCAGCAATGACAAGATCACCCAAAATATGATTTCAGACTGTGCACAATATTAATGCCTTATGATTTCTCTTCAAACTACCAGAACAGGGGCTGGAGAGACAGCACAGCGGGTAGGGCTTTTGCCTTACACGTGGCCGAACTGGGTTCAAATTCCAGCAACCCACATGGTCAGGAGTAACTGCTGAGTGCAGAGCCAGGAGTATCCCCTGTGCATCACCAGGTGTGGGCAATGAAGGATGGTACAAAAGTACTTTAGGAGCACCCCAGGAACCTCTTATTCCAATCTGCCCTACACTACCAAATCCCTACTGTATCTTGGGAAACATTTCTCCGTCCACACTCTGGTTGACAGAAGTAGATCGAAAAAAAATCCTCCTTTGTGCATTCAGAGAATAGAAGACTCGCAGCACCTATTACCTTTAAAGTGGGATGTGGGGAAACAACCTACTCATTTTATTAGGTTTATTTCCTCAGGATTTTTGGAACCAGGCTCTTCTATGTGCACGTGCTCTGGGTCATGATCTAGAGGATGTACTCTTACAAAGGTAAAACCTGTTCAGTGTGTGGATAATCTGTGCATCTGTTCCCCTACACAATAAGGATAACAAAAACTGTGCAAACTCCTCTAATTTTTTAGCTTTAGGGATATGAAATCCTAAGAAATAAGGCCAAGCTCAACCAATAACATGTGAAACGCCTGGGAGTTATTCGGGTCCCCATGACTAGAATCTTAGAACCAGACTTTCCACGCTATATTGACGCTTCAATGCCTACAACCCAGAAGCACCTTCAAGCCTAACAGTGTGAACAGAGGACGCTGTTCAGTGAGGTGACACTGGAAAACTACAGGACCTGGAATCATTGGGACACTCTGTCATCACACTTGAAGCAATCATCAAGTTGAAGAAAGAGTAGAGTCATGAAAAAATAAAAATAAAACAAGGAGTAGAGCCATGGATGATAGATAACTCAAAACAGAGTCTCTCAGGAGAGAAACACAAAAACAATGTAGAAAAACTTTCTCAAGGAAGCCAGATCTAATTCAACATGAAAGATTTCACACAGGAGGGAAACCCTATGTACATAAACAATGTAGGAAAACATTCACGGTGAAATCCTCTCTCATTCAACATGAGAACTCAAACAAGAGAGAAACCTTATTCATGTATTGAATGCTGAAGATCTTTCTCTTGTAAGTCATGTCTGATTAAACATAAGAATTCACATGCGATAAACCCTACCAAAGCAGTGAATGCAGGAAGAAATCTTTCTCCATTAAATCATTACTGATTGAACATAACAGGATTCACACGAGAGAAATGTAGGGAAACATTCTCATTGAAATCAATCCTCACTAACCATGAGAGGAGACCCTATGCATGTAGGAAAACTTTCCTTTTAAATCATACCTCGCATTGGGTTGGAGCGATAGCACAACAGATAAGGCATTCCCAGCATTCCATATGGTCTCCCGAGCACCGCCAGGGGTAATTCCTGAGTGCACAGGCAGGAGTAACCCCTGTGCATCGCCAGGTGTGACTCAAGTAGCAAAAAAAAAATCATACCTCACTGAATAGGAATGAAATAACTGGAGAGAAAACCTGTGAATGGAAAGTAAACAGGAAAACTTTCTCATTATAATCGTATCTCATTAAACAATATAGAATTCATACACGTGAAAAACACTGTTTATTACAAAGAATGTAAGAAAACCTTTTTGATAAAACTGTACCTCACTCAAGATAATTCGTGTAGGAGATAAACCCTATGAATGTAAAATGTGGATGAAAACTTTTTACAACAAATAAGGTCACCCCATACACAACATATCTTAAAAAGGAGACAGACCCTTAGAGCATGAAATGTAGGCAAAGATTTTCCATGAAATGAAACCTCACTGAACTTGAGAAGATTCATTAAGGAGAGAAACCCTTGTGAATGCCAGAAAACTTTCTACACGGTGGGAAAGACCGCCAACAATTCCTTCTCTCTGGGTGGAACCCGTTGTTTCAGGATTGAGCTGTACTGAGAAATTAACTTGCTGAAAATTCAAGTATGCAAGTTTTTGTGACTGATAACTTGACTTGGAATGGGCTACCTCCCCTTACCTCCCTGTACTTCTGGAAGCTCTGCAGTCATGCCCACGAATCACACACCATACCGTGAAGGCTCTTCTATCGTTCTTGCTTCAATGACTCAATATCTTGAAAGAGATCAAACAGCTGCCCTAACTCCTTCTATCACCCATGCATGGCTAAGATCTCTGGGGCCAGCCCCGGGCCCGCCAAAACTGAGCCCCGGCTGCTGGTAAATCCCCAACTACAAAATCGCAGCCATGCATCTGGTCAGTCTCCACTATCTCAGAACAGGACTTACCCAGAAATTAACCTGCTGAAAGTTCAGGTATGCAGGTCTTTGTGACTAAAATCTACAGGCTTTCTCAGTGTTGGGACAGGCTACTTTGTAAATAACTGTTTAAGTAAACTTACAAACTTAAAGGAATGATGGAACTTTCAGATACATGGAATCCTGAATTCAGAGCCCAGATATCAATCCTCAGAGTCAGAGTCTGTGAATCTATGACAAAATGGTTAATTCTCAAGGATTGACCGAGTATTCAAGTAAGGTGTGTTCCTTGCATGCAGGCGACCATGATTTGGTCACCAGCAAAGCATATTTTCTCCCAAACCTGTCAGGAGTGATTCCTGAGTACAAAGCCAGAAGTGAGCCCTGAGCAGAGCAAGATATGGCCTAAAATACAAAACAAGAATAGAAATTTCTGTGACACAGCAAAGCTATTCCTGAAAAAAAATACCCTTTTGGGCATTTATCTGATATGAAAATACTCATCTAGAGAGAGATTTACACCCCAATTTGATCATAGCAGATTCATGATAGGTGAAACATAGGAATTCACCTAAATGCCCATCCACATATGACTGTCTAAAGAAGCAAGAGCATACTGACTCTAGAATACTATTCTGCCATTTTTAAAGATGAAATGTTATTCTGGACAAACTGAAATAGTCCATGAGCTAAGTCTGGAAGTGAAAGACAATCATCACTATTTACTCATTTGGAGCATGCATTACTAAAGAAAGTATACCCCAAAGAACTAACAAAATGGGCTTGCTCTTGAAGCCCATGTACTCACTTAAACATGCATATCACTTGCCTCTATGTTCCTTATTTACCTTTTTCTACTCTAGAGTATCCAGTGCTCTCTCCCGAACACACATTTCTTCCTTTCTCTACCGTCACAGCTTTGAAAGTTTTCAAATTAATTTGCTTTAGGGCTTGGACAATAGTACAGTGAGTAGAGCATTTACCAACACAGAGCCAACCCGCATTTTATCCCTAGCAACCCATGTGGTCCCCCGAGTACAGCTACGAGTAATTACTGAGGGTAGAGCTAGAAGAAACCCCTGAGCTTCACCGAGTCTGACCCCCCCAAAAAAACCCAATTATTTTAACTCTTCTGCTTCACCAAAAACATTAAAAGTGAAAGAAAATAACAAGCTTGCTAGACTGAAGGAATACAATGGTGACTCTAAGAGAGATGGAGTTGGTAGAGCAAGGAACCAGCATGGTCTTTTTGGTGGTGGGATAGCACCCAAAACTTGGTGGTAGATGTTGTGACAATTATACACATATAAAGGTCTGAAGTTAACAGCAGAACCTTCACAATACTTGAAAACAATTTTAAGGCAATTTTGAAAAAGTACATTTCTGTATGAGGTGACTTACATTGTATCAATTTCTCGATAAAAATAAATGCCAAGGAACATACGTGGAAAAGTATCAACCAACAAAATGATTCAGGAAAAGACACATCTCAAAATAAACAGAACAGACTAACAGCTTCATTACTGTATCTATGTCATGCTACTTAAACCGAATTAAGTCACACAACTCTATCGGTTTTATCTGCCAAATGGAAAGTCATCCAACTCAGATGGAAATTCAAGAACTAATGTTTTCCTATTTCTTAAATATTTCTCATCGTTCTTGGGGGTTTTAGGTTCTTGGATCTATATATGAACCAATTTACCACATGTAATCTAATTGGTATCAAATATATTCCCAAGGAAAATAAACTGCGCTTAAAATTTAAGAACATGAGGCAACGGAGAGATCAAAAAGCAGGTCAGGCGTGTGAACTGCACATAGCTAACCTGAGTTCAATCTCCTTGGCATCCAATATCGTCTTCAAAGCACTGCCAATAGTAATAACTGAGTGCAGAGCCAGGAGAAATCCAGAAGAATCGCCAGGTGTTACCTGACCACCCGCGCCCAAAAGAAGTAAGAGCATCAGACGTTAGAGAGTATATATTCCTCAAGGACTAATGTACATGGGAATAAAATCATTGAGCTCCAAAAGATTTTACATATCAAAAGTGAGATATAATTGGTTTTGATTTTTAAAAATGCTTCTCATAATAATTCAAATCTGGGGCCAGAGAGACACTTCGGTGGACAGGGTGTTTCTTTTCCAGGCAGCTGTTCTGTCCCCAGAACCTCATATAGTCCTGAGCCCTGCCAGGATTGCCCCCTGTGCACAGAGCTAGGAGTAAGTCATGAGTACATCCTGGTGGGACCCAACACACACACACAAACATACACACACACAAGAACACACCATTTCATGTGCAATTCTACCAAGCAACTCAAACAGCTGCAGTCTTAGTAATGCCTGTAATCTCTGGAATTGGGGGATCCCCAATCCCCGGAGTGCCAGGATTTGATACCTGTGGGATATATCATTGCTCCTACTCCTACTCTTATGACCATGCCATTTAGAATGCTCCTTGTGCCTGCCAGCCAATGTGGGTATCTGACCTTTGATCTCTGTCCCTATCCCTGTTCTTTTCTTCCCTTTCCTCCGTCATACTTAAGGACCTGTGTTCCTGTTTGGGCTTCTTCTTCTTTGGCTCCCTGTCTTTTCCTTCTTTGGCTCCCTGTCTCTGCTCCGGCCTCTGTTCAGGAGTGGTAGGCTGTCCTGACCTCAAAGGAGGTGTTGTACTGCTTCTGCCCCTCCCTGAATTCTGACTTCTGAATCTTTTTTGAGTTCTTGCTGTTGAACTTTTTACAGTCAGGGGAATTGTTTTCCTTTAGCATCTTGCTTCTGGGTGATGAAGAGGAGACTGGTGCATCGGGCTGTACCTCCCGCTTTTCTTCATTTACTTTTTTCCTTTTTGTCTGGAGATAAAAATAGATGAAATCAATAAATAGGAAATGAAAAAATATACAACTCTCCCCAAAAGTTCCTATTTTCTAAATACACTAGATCAAATGTAGAACCAGGAGTAAGCCAAAGCACCATCAGGTGTGACTCCCACCCCCAAAAATAACTTGAAGTTGGGGTGGTGATGCTTGGAGGACCATACAGTATGCAAGAGTTCAAACCCGGGTTGGCTGTGTATAAATCAAACACGCTACCTACTCGCTGTACTATTATCATCCAGTTTAATAATTTGAATTTTAATAGTACATTAATATTCATGGCAAGACAGCAAAAAGAGCAAAGTTTATAAGATGAAGAGTCAAAGTATAATTGTCGTCCTCTAATTTAAAAATCATGAGCTTTGAAAATGTCTTAGAAGATTTTCTAGAAAGTGTGTATGCCCATCAGGATATTCCTTAAATTTACTTTTCTCTAGGAAAGTCGGATGAAATAAAAAGAATATCGGGTGGGGCAATAACGAAGCAGGTAGGGCATTTGCCTTGTACACTGCTGAGTCGGGATCGATTCCCAGCATCCCATATGGTCCCCTGAGTACCACCAGGTGTAATTCCTGAGTGCAGAGCAAGGAGTAACCTCTGTGTATGGCCAGGTAGGAGAAAAAAGTAAAATAATGAGTATCTATAGTTGTATCTTGACATAAACTTAAGTTTACTAAGTCACTATTTCTTAAGAGTTCTGGTTACATGAACATGTTTTTCTATTAGAAAATAAACATACCTTTCTACCATTAAATAAACAGCTTTATCCATCAAAAAAATTAAGACCACCTGAAACCATTTTTGGTCATAACACTTTACCTTTTTTGCGTTTTTTTTTTGTGGGCTTGTCATCCTCAGAGTCCTCATCTGAAAATTTTGGAGGCTTGTGTGCTCCACAACCCATCTCCTGAAGCAATCTGGTCACATCATCCAATTCATCTGAGTCCTTAGGAGCCCTATAGTTAGACACATGATCCATTCGAATAGTTCGTCCTTTGATCTAAAACAGAAAGACAACGCATCAGCAAAGATAACCCTTCTATGAAACGATGTGACGCACACAAACTTCTTGCTAATTCTGTATCTGGGGAAATCTCCAAAACTGTTAGCCCAACGGGTTTGTTTGAGCACATTTCCCAGCTAGCAATTTTCTCTGCTCTCAGGGCAACCACAGGACTGAGGGCTACTGTGCCCCTGAGGCAAGTGCACTAGCATCTTCGGTCAGTTTACCCCTGTGTGCCATACAAATATTTTTGTGCTCTATTGATGTCATGATATAAAAAAACTCTGGGAATTTTTGTAAGTAGCTCACACTGATACTTTTGCTGTGAAACACAAACTCTGGGCAAACAACAAAATATTAAAAACTCACATCAAACAAAACCATTTCTTTTTTCAAGCATATACTTAAAAATTCTTTTTTGATGGTGGGGGATGTTGAACCACTACTGAATGTGCGCAGATCACTTGGCCTGTCCAGATCATAACCCTGGTCAGCCTGCTAAGGTATGAGCCATACCCATGGTAGGATCACTTCCCTCCCCAATATATACATAATTCTATAGTTATTAGGAAGTCAACATTCCCAAAGTCTAATTTTATTGTTCCAATACAAGGTCTGATTTTAGTCTTATCTTTCAGCCTAAGCTACCTTTTATCATCTATCGTATTTCCCATTGAAAAATATTTTTGAGGACCTGGAGAGATAGCACAGAGGATAGGGCATTAGCCTTGCACACAACGAATCACGGTTCGATTCCCAGCATCCCATATGGTCCCCCCAGCAAGTAGTAATTTCTGAGTGCAGAAGCAGGAGTCATTGTGCATCCCCAGGTGTCACCCAAAACACAAATTAAATAAATAAATAAACACATTTTTGATGGTCCAGAGTGATAGCACAGAATGTAAGGCATTTGCCTTGCACGTGGCCGAAAAAGGTTCGATCCCCAACATCCCTATGGTTCCCCCAGCAAGGCCAGGAGTATTCCCTGAGTGCAGAGCCAGGAGTAACCCTGAGCATCGCTGTGTATGACCCAAAGAGGGAAAAAATATTTTAAAACCATCCCTTCCTTGACTGACTTTGAATAGAGGATCCATAAAATGAAAACCTATAACCCCATTCCATGCTGTCCTCGTAACTACTTATTACTGGTGCAATCAGTGACCAATTCTCTAAGAGTCACTCTCCTGGGCTGGAGAAATACAGTGGTGAGGAGGGAAAGATAAGAAACAAAGGCCTCCCTGGGTGGGTGGGGGAATAGCTAATACTGAGGAAGAAAGAAACGCTGACTGGGGCAGAGGCCCATGTAATTGCTTCCTAGAACAATTTCCCAACATCCCGGAAACTTTTACTGTCTCATCCTGGTGGCCCCTGGGCCTCTCTGAATCAGAAGAAAAATCAAACCAAACCATTCCATCAGAAACATTCTGCCAAATCCTACTTCATACTTTTACTCACCTTGATGCCATTAAAATTGTCAACAGCCAGAATTGTGCTCCGGTGGTCTTCATAGCAAAGGAAACAGAATCCCTTGGATTTCCCAGTCTTCTTATTGTGTACCAGATTTATGTTAACAATCTCACCATATCTATTTAATAAAAAAGACACTATTTGAAGTAAAATGTTCAGAATGGACGACAAACAAAACTTAAATATTGACTATAAAGACAAAGCTAGAACCAGATGACAAATGAAGGTTAACTATTAAAACTTATAGGGAGGGAGCTAAAGCACGACAGTGGGTAGAGCTCCTGCCTTGCATGCAGTCAATCGGGTTCAATCCTTAGCACCCCATATGATTCCTTGAGCCCCACCAGGAGTGATCCCTGAGCACCACTGGTGTAGCACCCATAAATAAGACAAAAAAAGTTAATAAGAAATGTCCCATTTAAAAAGTGAGTGAAGAGAAGAAAAGTGCCTGCCATAGAGGAAGGCTGGGGAGTGGGGGGTGAAGGGTGATGGGAGGGGAAACTGGGGACACCGGTGCTGGGAAATATACACTGGTAGAGAGATGGGTGTTGGAACACCAACTGAAACTTAATCTTAAACAGCTTTGTAAGGGTCTATCTCACAGTGATTCAATTAAAAAGAAAGGTAAAAGGTTTAAATATACAGATAATAATTAAGATTCAAAATTCATGCCTCCTACCTAAATTAACATACTCAATCACTCCCAGGAGAGATCCAAGAGCACAAAGCCAGGAGGAATCCCTGAGCAGAGCTCAGTGTCACTGGGATAACGGTATAGCTGGTAAGGTACTTTCCTTGCACACGGCCGGCCGAGGGTCAATCTCCGGCATCTCATACATTCTCCCAAGCACCACAAAGTATGATTCCTGAGCCCAAATCCATGAGTATTGCCAGGTGAGGCAAAAAAAACAAAAACCTAATATTTTTAATAGAGTAAGAAAAAGAAAACAGCAAGCAGAAATCTCAGTGGTGAGTTCAGTATATGCTTTGCAGGTGGGACACCTAGGCTCAATTCCTGGTACCAAATGCTTCCCCAGGTACCACCAGAAGTACTCCGTCTGCAAAAAGCTGGAAAAAGTTCCCAGGCATCAGTGGATAGGGCCAAATACAAAAAAAAAACAAATAAAATTGATGAATACATTATAAACATAATCATAGACACATAGTTCTGCCAAAATCTAGAATCTTTAATAAAAAGTACAAAAAAAACAGCTCAAGTGTTGCCAGGAACATTTACCTACTTAATTGATGAAGCTATAGCACAGCGGGTAGGGCATTTGCCTTGTATACAGCCACCCGGGTTCGATTCGTCCATCCCTCTTGGAGAGCCTAGTAAGATCCCAATAGTATCCCGTCCGCACAGCAGATCCTGGCAAGCTCCTCATGGCGTATTTGTTATGGCAAAAAACAGTCACAACAAGTTCCACAATGGAGACATTACTGGTGCCCGCTGGAGCAAAACGATGAACAACGGGAGGACAGTGTTACAGTGTACTGTTATCTGCCAATGCAATTAGGAGAAAACATATAAATCAGAAATAAAAGGTGAAACCATATCTGTTTGAAGACTAGATGTGATTGTACTATAGAAAACCCCAAATACTCTTAATTAAGAGTCCAAAATTTACTTAAAATCACAATGCCTAATTAAAATTTTTCTTAAAACTAGGATATAGGTGCAAATAAACCACTTTCTTGAATTCAAACAGTGATCGATTAGAAATATATAATGGAGAAGGAACCACATTTATAATTAGCAAGAAAAATAAAATAAAATAAAAACTTCAGGGCCAGAACAATAGTACAGTAGGGAAGGTACTTGCCTTACAAGTGTCAGACACGAATTCGATCCACGATATCCCAAATGGTCCCCTAAGCACCGCCAGGAAAAATTTCTGAGTACAGAGCCAGGAGTAACCCCTGAGCATTGCCGTGTATGGTCCCAAAACAAAAATAAATAAATACATAAACTTGAGGGTTTAGAGAAAGAGTACAGTGGGCAGGGCACATGCCTTACACATATCCCACCTGGGTTCTATTCTCTCCATCATGTCCCCCAAGCACTGCCAGGTCTAATTCCTGAATGGAGAGCCAGGAATAAACCTGGAGCACGCAGAGTATGGCCAAAACAAAAAAAAATGTAAATAAATAAATAATGAAAATGGACTTGAACAGGGCTGGAAAGACAGTATATAGTCAAAGCGCTTGCCTTAAATGTGACAGACTTGGCCTAATCTTTGGTATGACATATGGGCCCTGGGCCCTGACACTAGGGAACACTGATAACAGAGCCAGGAATAAGCCATGAGCAACATCAGGTATCACACCAAAAGAAAAATAAAGTATAAATTGTATTTTCAGTAATACTTTTTATAACTCCTCAAAGAAACATAGATTTAAGTAAATATAAAAATATCCTTTGTTGGGCTTAATGGCTCTAAGGTGAGATACAAAAATCTTCACACATATACAAATAAGAAAACATTTTTGGATCATTTTAATGCATTATTCATAACAAGCAATACAAAATGTATTATCTAGTATTTGGTTTGAGGGTAGGCTTAAGTTGCGGTCGGAAAATCCGAAATAATGGGGGTGAGAAGGTGTAATGGTGGTGGAATTGGTGCTTGAATACTGAATGTAATAAACGTTGTGAACAATTTTATAAAAATAAAATTGGAAGAAAAATATCCTTTGTTGTTGGTTAGGATATCCAAACATAATCAAAACACTAAAAATCCTTCTCAGAATTAATATATAAACTTCATTCAATTCCAGTTTTAAAATTCATACCTTTTTTTCCTAAAGTAGAGTAAGTTGTTTAGAACATTCTTGTGGGAAAATGAACATAAGAATAACTAGGGGATCAGAGCCCCTCTGCCTCTCCCTTTCCGCCGCCCAAGCCGAGCTGGTCTCTTCTCCCCACTCCGTCTTTTCTCCCGGGATACATGCCAGGTAGCTGTAGGGGTGTGGCCACTTTAGAAGTGGGCATGGCTTTTAAAAAGTGGGCGTGGCCTAATTTTCGGCGGGCTAACGCTGACGCGGCTGCGGGTAGTTTACACAAATCAAGAAATCTCATCCCTACACCTACACAACAACATGAAGAAACAACGCAAATCTCTACCACAGGGAGACCACGAGGAAATAAGTCCAGAAGCCTCACTAGGTGCTAGCCACCACAGGGACCTCTCTGACAAGGAATTCACATATGAAGTCATTAAGATGTTCAATCAACTCGATGAAACAGTCAGACAGATATCCGCTAAACTGAAAGAGGAAATGAAAGAAACAATCGATCGCACAATCGACAAAATACAGCAAGAAATGAGAGCCTAAATTGGAAAGCTTCGCACAGAAATGGCACGCATCACAGATTCCCTAGATGAAGTCAACAACTCACTCTCTGCCCTCAAAAATAGAATGACCACAGCTGAGGAAAAAAATCAGTGACCTGGAAGATCAGCTGCACCAAGCCAACAAGCAACAACAAACAGTGGAAAAGGACATCAAAATAGCTCTACAGAGAATCAGAGTCCTACGAGACGATTCCAAAAGAAACAACATTAGAATCATTGGACTACCAGAAGCTCAGGGTAACAATCCCAATGAAAAAACCATGGTTAAACAAATAATCGCCGAGAAATTCCCAGAGCTCCACAATACAGCCAGATTCAAGAAGCTTGAAGGGTGCCAGCTAAAAGAGACCCCAATAGAAACACCCCAAGACATATTATAGTTAGAATGATCGATGCTGCCGATAGAGACACAATACTGCAAGCAGCAAGGGCAAAAAAGGAAATCACATACAAAGGAGCACCACTGAGATTCACAGCAGACCTATCAGAGGAAACCCTACAAGCCCAAAGGCAGTGGCGAGATATAGTCAAAAAACTCACTGAAATGAATGCTTCACCGAGAATACTCTATCTGGCTAAACTCTCACTCAAAATCGAAGGAATGCTACACTATTTTCTAGATAAACAGCAGCTCAGGAACTTCATAAACTCAAAACCAAACAAAACCTAAAACAAGGCCTAAAGGGGCTACTATAAGACAAGACAAACCCTACAACCACAATACACACGCACAGAAACATGACACAAAACCCCATAACCATACTCTCAATGTCAATGGTCTCAATTCACCATTTAAGAGACACAGAGTGGCAAAATGGATACAGAGACAGAAAGCAAGTTCTGCTGCCTACAAGAAACTCATCTCAACACTGAGAGCAAATATAGACTCAAAGTCAAAGGATGGAAAACAATCCTGCAAGCAAACAGCTCCTGCAAAAAAGCTGGGGTGGCCATACTAGTATCCGACAACATTAATTTCAACTTGAAAAAGACTAGAAGGGACAGAGAAGGCTATTTTCTCTTCATCAGGGGATATGTACAACAGGAAGAAATCACACTCTTAAATGTATATGCACCTAATGAGGGAACAGCTAAATATTTAAAACAACTGCTAACAGATTTTAAGGAGGACATTACAAGCAACACAATAGTACTTGGAGACTTCAACATTGCCCTATCACCTCTGGACATATCAACAAGAACAAAACCCAGCAAGGAATCATTGGCTTTGAAAGAAGAAATAGAAGAGAGAGGGCTTATAGACATTTACAAGGCTTTACACCCCATAAAGAAAGAATACATATTCTTCTCCAGTGCACACGGAACATTTTCCAAAATAGACCATGTGCTAGGACACAAAACATACCTCAACAGAATCAGGAAGATAGACATAGTATCAGCCATCTTTTCAGACCATGATGCACTGAGGATAGAAGTGAATCACACACAGACACGGAAAACCAAATCAAACACCTGGAAGTTAAACATCTCGATGCTGAACAAAGAGTGGGTCAGGAATGAAGTCAAGGACGAAATCAAAAGATACTTGAAAACAAATGAGAATGAAGACACGAGCTACCAGAACCTATGGGATGCAGCAAAAGCCGTATTAAGGGGAAAATTTATAGCTCTGCAAGCATTATATTAGGTCTGTAGAAACGATGCACATAAACAACTTGACCTCACAGCTCAAGACCTTAGAAAAGGATCAACAGAAAGAGCCTAAATCAGGCAGAAGGAAAGAGATCATAAAACTTAGAGCAGAAATCAATGATATGGAAACCAAAGAAACAATCCGAAAGATCAATGAAACCAAGAGCTGGTTCTTCGAGAAAATAAACAAGATAGATAAATCACTAGCAACACTCTCAAAGAAACAGAGAGAGAGAAAACCCTAATAAATCGAATCAGAAGTGAGAAGGAGGATATCACAACAGAAACCAAAGAAATCCAAAAGATCATGAGAGACTACTTTGAAAGTCTGTATGCCATGAAACAAGAGAACCTAGAAGAAATGGACCAATTCCTGGACTCCTATAATCTCCCAAAGCTGAATCAAGAAGATCTGGAGTATCTGAATAGACCCATTAACATCAACGAAATAGAAACTGCAATCAAAAGTCTTCCCAAAAACAAAAGCCCAGGCCCAGACGGATTCACTAGCGAATTTTTCCAAACATTTAAAGAGGACCTGCTGCCAGTCCTTCTCAAGCTTTTCCAGGAAATTTTAAAAACGTAAACTCTCCCAAACAGTTTCTATGAAGCCCATATCTCTCTAATACCAAAAGGAAACAAAGACACCACGAGAAAAGAAAAATACAGGCCGATATCCCTGATGAACATGGATGCGAAGATTCTCAACAAAATACTAGCAAATAGAATTCAACTACTCATCAAAAAGATCATACACCATGACCAAGTAGGATTCATCCCAGGGATGCAAGGCTGGTTCAACACTCGGAAATCAATCAACATAATCCACCATATCAACATAAGAAAAGATAAAAATCATATGATCATATCAATAGATGCAGAGAAAGCATTTGACAAGATCCAGCACCCATTTATGATGAAAACACTAGCTAAAATGGGGATAGAGGGGACATTCCTCAATATAGTTAAAGCCATCTACTACAAGCTTAAGGCAAGCAACGTCCTCAATGGCGAGAAACTGAGAGCCTTCCCTCTAAGATCAGGGACGAGACAAGGATGTCAACTCTCTCCACTGCTGTTCAATATAGTACTGGAGGTACTTGCAATAGCAATTAGGCAAGAAAAAGATATTAGGGGCATCCAGGTAGGAAAGGAAGAATTCAAGCTCTCACTATTCGCAGATGATGATACTATACCTAGAGAATCCTAAAACTTCTACCAAGAAACTTCTAGAAAAAATAGGCTTGTATAGTAAAGTGGCAGGCTATAAAATCAATACCCAAAAGTCCATGGCTTTCCTATATGCAAATAGTGAAAGAGAATAAAGTGACATGAAGAAAACAATCCCATTCTCAATTGTGCCCCAGAAAATCAAGTACCTAGGAATCACCTTAACTAAGGAACTAAAGGACCTGTACAAAGAAAACTACAAAACGCTACTTCAGGAAATAAAAGAGGACACGAGGAAATGGAAAAATATCCCTTGTACATGGATCGGGAGAATCAATATTGTCAAAATGGCAATAATTCCCAAAGCACTGTATAAATTCAACGCAATCCCTATTAGGATACCCATGACATTCTTCAAAGAAGTGGAGCAAACACTCCTGAAATTTATATGGAAAAATAAGCCCCCACGAATAGCTAAAGCAATCCTTGTGAAAAAGAAAATGGGACGAGTCAACCTCCCTAACGTCAAACTCTACTACAAAGCAGCAATAATTAAAACAGCATGGTACTGAAACAAAGGCAGAGCTGTAGACCAATGGAACAGGGTTGAATATACTGAAATCTCCCCCTAAGCATAGGAGCATCTAATCTTTGATAAGGGGGCAAGAAAAGTGAAGTAGCGCAGGGAATGCTTCTTTAACAAATTATGCTGGCAACACTGGACGACTACATGCAAAAAAATGGGCTCAGATCTCTGCCTAACTCCATGTACAAAATTAAGATCTAAGTGGATTAAAGACCTCAACATAAGACCGGAATCTATAAGGTACATTGAGGAAAAAGCTGGCAAAACCCTTCATGACATAGAAGCTAATGGTGTCTTCAAAGATGTCACACCACTGGCCAAGCAAGTGAAAACAGAGATAGACAATTGGGACTATCTTAAACTAAGAAGCTTCTGTACCTCCAAAGACACAGTGACCAAAATACAAAGACAGTCTACAGAATGGGAAAGGATATTTGCCAACACATCAGATAAGGGGTTAATTTCAAGGATATACAAAGTACTAGTTCAAGTCCACAAAAAGAAAACATTCAACCCCATAAAAAATGGGGAGATGAAATGAAAAGAAACTTTCACAAAGAAGAAATCCGAATGGCTAAAAGGCACATGAGAAAATGTTCCACATCATTAATCTTCAGGGAGATGCAGATCAAAACCACAATGAGATATCACTTCACACCAAAGAGACTGGCCCATATCCACAAGAACAAAAGCAACTGGTGCTGGCGAGGATGTGGTGAGACAGGGACACTCATTCACTGTAGGTGGGAATGCCGACTGGTTCAGCCCTTTTGGAAAACAGTATGGTTGATTCTCAAAAAATTAGAAATTGAGCTCCCATTTGACCCAGCAATACCACTCCTGGGAATATATCCCAGCGAGGCAAAAAAGTATAGTTGAAGTGACATCTGCAATTGCCTGTTTATTGCAGCACTCTTTACAATAGCCAGACTCTGGAAAAAACCTGAGTGCCCGAGAACGGATGATTGGTTAAAGAAACTTTGGTACATTTACACAATGGAGTACTATGTAGCTGTTAGAAAGGACGAAGTCACAAAATTCCCATACAAGTGGTACTACATGGAAAATATCATGTTAAGTGAAATGACTCAGAAAGAAAGGAATAGTCATAGAAAGATTGCATTCATCTGGGGAACATAAAGTAACAAAATAAGAAACTAACACCCAAGAATGGCCGAGATTAGTACCAGGAATTCTACTCCATGACTTGGAGGCCAACCACACACACTAGGGAAAAGGGAGCTCAGATAAAGAGGGGAACACCAAACAAAGGTGTTGAGAGGACCCTCCCAGGATGGGAGAAGCATGCTGAAAGTAGACTATAGACCAAAATTGATTGCCACCCAATGTTTCTTTTACGAACCACAACACCCAAAGGGAGAGAGAGAACAGAGGGGAATGCCCTGCCACAGAGTCAGGGTGGGAGGGGGGGATGGGGGGTTCACATAGCATCCCATGTGCTACCCCAAGCACCGCCACGAGTAATTCCTGAGTGCACAGCCAGGAGTAATCCCTGAGCATCGCCAGGTATGGTCCAAACACACAAATCATGTCTTGCAATGGACTCTAAGATAATTTAGTAAAATCAGAAAATGTGAAACAGGTAAAAATAGTAATAACAATTAGATACTATAGTAATAGACAGGGACTTGGCTAAGGGGATAGAGTGGCATTCCTTACATTTTATAATTTTTCTGTATTAGTTTTGAAATGAAAGTTTAAAATACATGAACATGAAATATAAGCAGTATTTCAAGATAAAAATCAAAGAAACAGTAGAGGAACTGGTTTTAAAAGGCCTCTCTAGACCTCAAACTAAAAACTTCTCAACATGAAAGAATAATGGCACAGTACTAGCACACATCAAATTGGAGAGTAAGACTGAGCACCACTGTGCCCAAAATACAAAAAAAATTGTTCAAGTTATCTGCTCATTATCCACCATAGCTACATTCAAAATCAAATGTTTTCAAGGCGGCCTTACAAACAGAACCCAGGGACCATTCCGTGGATATTGGGTCAGACAACTCAGTGGAAGGGCTCAAGGATTTGGTGCTGCACTGACACTGCAGATTGGGGAACCTCCAGTGCCACCTGGCAGTGCTCTGGGCCCACCAAGGATATACCTCTTGAAGCATTGAGCAGTGCTTTTAGTGCTGTGGGACATCAGACCTAGTTTAATAATCTAAGGTCCTAACCCGCTATCTCCTTGCCCCGCAAAATCAGTTTGAATATATAAATATTAACCCTACCTCACACAGATTAAGGATTATAAAGAAAACTTTTAAGCATTTCACAAATGTAAATCCTCATTCAAACATGTCCTACCTCTATAAATGCGTTTATTAGTATGACTTATGAGATTTTTCAAAGCAGCTAGGAATGTGTCCCAGACAAAGCAATGAGAGGATGGGGAAAGTGAAAAGGGGCAGGGGGAAGAAGATAGGAGTGAGGGGTAGGGGAGGAGAAAGGAAAGAGCAAGAAGTGGCGGAAGAGATAAGGGGAAAGGGGGAAGTGGAAAGGGAAGAGGAAGGTAAGAAAAAAGAAAAGAGGGAGGGCATGGGGAAGTGAAAGCGGGAGAGGTGGGAGGGGTGGAGGAAGGCAAAAAAGAGGAAGATGGAAGGGTAAAGGGAGAGGGAATAAGTCAGAAGTGAAGAGAGGCATGGGGGAAGGCTAGGGAGAGAGTAAATCAGTGAAGGGAAGGGGAAGAGGAGGGGAGAGAAGGGGAAGAGGAGAGGGAAAGAGGAAGATAGGGAGAAGGGAAAACGACGAAGGAACAAGGGAGAGGATTATAAGAGGATGAGAAGGGTAAGGGGAGGACAGGAACTGGAGCATAGCACAGCAGGTAGGGTGTTTGCCTTGCACATGGCCAACCCGGGTTCAATTCCCAGCATCCTATATAGTCCCAGGAGTAATTCCCGAGTGCATAAGCCAGGAGTAACCCTGTGCAAGGCCGGGTGTGACCCAAAAAGAAGCACTGAAGTGTACTCTCCCACCGTTGTTCATAGATATATGCTCTAGTGTGCCCAGTAACGTCTCCATCGTGAGACTTGTGGTTACTGTGTTTGGCATATTGAAAATGTCAAGGGGAGCGTGCCAGGCTTTGCCGAGCCAGCGAGATACTCTGGGTAGCTTGCTGGGCTCTCTGATAGGGGCGGAGGAATCTAACTCGAGTCGGCCATATTGGCCACCTGCAAGGCAAACACCCTACCCGCTTTGCTATCAAAATTAAAAATAAAGAAAACTGTACAACATTACAAAATAGAGGAGGAAAGGGAAAGGGGAGAGCAGGCGGCGTGGGAAGAAGAGGGGGAGAGCACGGGGGAGGGGGAAGAAGAGGGCAAGGGGAGGGGGAAAGGAAAATAAAGAGAGGCGTAGAGGAGGACAGAGGAAAGGAAAATGGACATGAAGGGTCGGGGAGAAGAAGGGAGAGGGGATGACAAAGGAAATGGAGAGGGGGAAGAGAAAGAGGGAATGGGGGGGGGGAAATGCGGGGAAAAATAAAAACCTGGAAAAAGAACAGAAATAAGGGTGCCTGAGAATTAGTACCGTGGACACGGCCCTTGCCCTGCCCGTGGCCAATGTCGGGGGTACCATCTCTAGCATACCATATATTCCCTGGACACCGCCAGTTGTGATCCTGGTGCACTGAGCCAGGAGAAACCCAGGAGCACCGCCTGGTGTGGCCCCCAAAATAAGACGCATAAATACATGCCGCCAGGGCTGGAGTGCTTATGTAGTGGGTAGGGCATTCGTCTTGTATGAGGCTGACCCAGGTTCCATCCCTGGCACCATCACTGGACCATCCCATAGGTTCTGTGAGCACTGCCAGAAGGAAACTGCTGAGTGCAGAGCGTGGAATGACGCCTGACCATCGCTGGGTGTCACCTAAACGAGGAGGGTCGGCGTGAGAGCCAGGGAGAGGAGAGGAATAATGGGAGAAGAGAGGCGGAAGGCTGAAACCCTCCCTGGAAAGCCAGGCGGCGGGGAACCCCAGGCGCACCGCGGCAGAACTCACCCGAGAAGATCCAGGCGCTGCTGTCCTTGTACTCGGTGTGCCAGGACACCTTCTCCGCCACCCCCAGCTGGACCTCTCGCTCCTTGAGTTCCTTGATTAACTTCAATTTCGTCAACGGGCTGCGGAAGTTGCGGCAGAGTAAAGAAACGGCCAGGCGACCAAGAGCGCCGAACTAGGGCTCCCCTGGAAGAGTCTCGGCGCCGTCCGGGCTTCGCGACTCCCGCCCCCTCGGATGCTTCGCCTCCCGCCCCGCATCCCAATTCCGCAGCCCCGACCTCCCATACTCTAAGGAGGACAACCGGAGCCTTACTTCATCTTCCACCGGTTTCCACTCCAAGATGCGGATGTAACGACCTCTGGAAAAAGCCGTTTAACGGTCGCCCGGCTTCAGCGCGCAATCCCATTGGACTAGAGCTGCCCCGGAAGAGATAATTCAAACCGGAAGAGATTAGGCACGTCGGGACATAAGGCGAGGAACGCATGCGCACTAGAACCGGGCCTTGTCTCACGGCAACTTGGACTTTGCCACACTTTTTTTCCCTCCTAGTCCCTTCCTTATGCCTGTGAACCTGAAGTGGGAAATGCGTCTGTTGCCGTCGACCATATTCTTTAAGCCTGGGATGCTGATTACGTGCGCCACTAGTATTTGCTGATTGAAAGCTGGGACAAGATGACTGATTCGGCGCTTTTGATCCCATCCTTTACTTCCGGTACTAAAAACCCTGTTTAGGTGACACTCAGATACATATTGAGATGGACTCGTATCTAAAACATCCCTTGTCAGGGTTGGAGCGATAGCACAAGGGCTAGAGGGTTTGCTTTGCAGGCGACCGCCCGGGGTTCGATTCCCAGCATCACATATGGTCCCCCTGGGTGCTGCCTGGAGTAATTTCTGAGTATATGAGTCTAGAGTGACTCCTGTGCATCGCGGGGTGTGACCCAAAAAGCAAAAAACAATTTAAAAAACAATAAAAATAAATAAAACATCCCTTGTCATTTGGACCTTTTATTGATGGCTGCCTTTGATTCTATTCTCTTAAAAAGTTGTTAAACTATAGTCCCTGAAATTCTGTAATCTTGTAAACTAATTCATTGATTTTTTAAAGAAATGAAAGTCCACACTAAAATCCGGTACGAAACATTCAGAAATGTAAAAACTTTGTATACCTGTATAGCAGCTTTTGGAAAAATCAATACTGGGCATTATAGTACAACCAAATTATGAAATGCTACAACCTATGAAAAATAACTATGCAAGCCTGAATGTATGTTTTGTGTCTCTCTTCCTGGAACCAGTTACGGTCCTCTTGTATCAAACCCCGAATAGACCCAGACAAATGTGATCCACCAAATAAAGCCATTTTCTAGGCTGAGGGTGCTAACTCAGTAGTAGAGTGTGTGCCTGATAGTTGTGAGGTCCCAAAGGACAAGAGGGAAAAAATTGCAAATACATTGCTTATAATATGGTCCTTAAAAAAGAGAAACTTAACAGAGAAAACTAAAAGAAACACACAGACAAAAATAGCACATTTGTGATTGGAAGGTGCCCCGACTCCACCACTGCACCCCCCTCCAGGGCTGATTAAAGGAAAAAAAGAACAGGAGTTTCAGCAGAAAAGGAAAATTTGAGAAGGAAAATTCTTTGTTGTCCCTCAAATCCATCTCATAGGCAACTGACTAGTGTGACCCTCTATGCAGAATTAAATGCTCAGATTTATAGGAAAATTACTACTCATCTCTTTCCATGGTGACTCTTACTCAAGTGAGGAGCATAAATAAAAATTATAATTCCATGTATTAATAGTAATTTCTATTAAGCTGATAATATGACAAGTAATAAGAGACTATGGAATAAGAAATTTACACATATTGGCCCTCCAGCAACTGAGGTTCAAAGAAGTTAGTTTGCAAGGTATTCTGACTCAGCCTGTGAGATCAGGTTGATTTCATCAGAATCTGCAAACAGGCATTTGAACATCAGTTCTCGGTGAATTAGGTACATTTCTCTCTAGAAATAACCAGGAACGAGTAGAAGAGATGGAAGCATATGTGATCTAAATCATATTGAATATTTGAATTCAACTGGAATGTATTTATGTCCATAACTCAAATAATAATGTCCTAAAAATGAGGGCCCAGACTTGTGAAGGTCCAGCTCAGAGATGCAGAAATGAAGTCCTTCCGGAAGGTACTTCAAGGGGCTGGAGCGATACAGTGGGTAGGATGCTTGCACAAGGCCGACTGGGTTCGATGCCTGGCATCTCATATGGTCCCCCAAGCACTGCCAGGAGTAATTCCTGAGTGCAGAGCCAGTAGTAACCCCTGAGCATCACCGGGTGCGCCCAAAAAGCAATCAAGCAAGCAAGCATGTAAGTAAATATATTATCAAAGGCACTTTGATAATGATGGTCATAAGGAAAACCATACCCTGAAGAGTCTCAGTGCCCTTCCAAGGAGAAAAACAGAGGCTGCTCACCAACTACAGTTTCTCGTAATTCATTCTATCTTTGGCTCTCACCCACCCCGTCCCAGCTATTCATTAACTTTATAAAATTATCTTGGCCATGCAACCTAAACAGTGACAGATTGCATATGGGTATTATCTGCTCCTAGGAATCTTAGGTTGCTTAGTTGTAGGGTTAAAGTCACCACTGAAAAATTGTTAACTAGCATCCAGCACTATCTTACTGGTTTCTTCAAGTGACTAAGAAATGAGAGTTGGGTTTACAACCAGGGCCCTGGTCTTAACGTTCAGAGGAAAAACGAAGCAAAAGTTAAGCATAAATTAGGTTGAAGAGAACAAAAGAAAACTGCTATAAACCTGTTGGTGGGTTTAGCAGAAATACATTCTGAAGGCAGGAAAACTGAAAGGCACCTGGATTTGCCTGGGCCATTTCAATGGTTGTCTGCAATGGATAGGTAAATATAGATAAGAAAATACCTAGATTTCAGAAAGTCCAAGTAGAAAAAGCATGGGAATTCAGAAGATAGCCTTATCTTAAAAGTCTGAAATGATAATTTGTATATGACATCCACCGTAACCATCATTGACCTCCCCCAATAATATGGATTTAGTACCCATTCTATACAAAGTTCTGTCCTGTGGGCAATAAAGAAGCTGAAACCAATCCCATTTAAGGAAAAGGCCAAACTACTTGATCAGCCAAGTCATCTCTCCACTTCTCACCACCATACCACTCCCCCAGACAGCTTTCTCTCTTGCCATCAGTATTTTGACCCTTCTCCTGATAGGCCAGACTCACACACATATATTACCTATTCGACACTCAAAAATATTTAACCAATTATCAACTCCTATTAATTATGCCATTGTATTATCTGTAAAATGAATTGCATCCGGTTACAGTCCTATTCCAAGTCATTATTGTATGATTCCTAGTTCCTCTGGCACTCATATCTGCAGCAGGCCCTATACTTCAGCCTTGTCTCCCACTGCCCTCAACATGAAACCTCAATTCTGGCTAAGCTCCACTCCTATCCATTCCCTCTAGGGTCCCTTTCAGTATCAACATAGACTCCTATGTTAAGAGAGTCCCATAAATCTATACCATTCTTCTCTCAGGTACTTTAGCCTTTCAAATTTCCATCATGGGAGAATACCCGTTCAGAAAGATTTTCTGTAAAAATGAACAAGTTGTGGAACACACCAGGCTGTGTTTAGAGGTTAATCCTGAGTGCATTCAGGGATTACTCCTGGTTGTGGGAGACTATATACGGTGCCAGGGGTTCAAATGCAGATCAAACATTGGCTCTTTTTACAGCCCTGAATATATATTTTCTGTCCTCAACCAACCTTTGTCCCAAGCTGTGCAACTTAACCTGATGTTTACCTCTGCAGAGGTGGAGAGGACTCAGTGTACTGCCCCAATAAGGAACAGTAATATCCTCAGCCTTAAGCATCAAGTGAAAATATCATTCTTCTCAGCATGAAATCCTAGCCAGTAAGAAGTGCAGCTAAACTGCAACCCAACCAAAGCAACCAGCATTGCCGAGAAAGCTTTGATTTTAGAGCCCTTTCCTGTATATATGACTACAGAGGAGCAAACTTTTAGGATATCTTCTCCCCGCTCCTGCTCTGGAAAGTTCTTGCCCTCTACTGGGCTTTCTACTCATTTTGATGCCAAACAATTTTGGCATCTAAGGTTGGCAATATCTTCTTTCCTGGTTTAGTAGGAACTCTCGTAGTATTTCAAGTGAATATCTCTAGAGAAGTAAACCTAACAAGCAGTATTATGAGGAAACATTTTTATGTGTTTCCTCTAATTAACCCCTTAGCACATTATTGTTTCCCTATTACTACTAAAACAAGTTCTCATAAATTTATTGACTTAGAACAGCACAGATTTATTATCATACAGGTTCCAAGTTCATAATTATGAAATCAGTTTCGCTGGGATAGAGTCAAAATGTGGAAAGACCAATGCCCAATGCAAAGAGCAACACTACTTAGCGGCTTTAGCAAGACGGGAAAAGGCTTTACGAAGTCCTGAGAATGGTCGGAGCAATGCTTAAATCTACATCTTGTCCTTTTGTTTCAAGTAATCTTTATAAAAGGTAAAAAGGTAAAGGCCCTCCCGTTAATCGTCGATTTGCTCGAGCGGGCCCAGTAACGTCTCCATTGGAGACTTTGTTGTTACTGTGTCTGGCATATCGAATACTTTCGGTAGCTTGCCGGGCTCTCCGAGAGGGGTGGAGGAATCGAACTCGGGTCGGCCATGTTGGCCGCTTGTAAGGCGAATACCCTAACCGCTGTGCTATCACTCCAGCAATCTTTATACTAATAGAAAAAAGGCTTCACCGTTTGTTTCTATTCCTTACAGTTTTCTGGACAAACAACAGTGGGGGGATTGAGGTCATCTACCTTCCTAAATAACAGTGTAAAATGTGTTTTGTTCTATTCTCTCCAAATCATAATAATTTGTAGCAGCTCTTAAAATCCTCTGGCTGGTTCAAAGATAAAATGCAGAAAAACAAAGGATTGTCTGAGTGAGTTTCTGCATATTCGTTCTCTACAAAACAATTGTAATATATTTAAGAAATCTGGAAAAAGAGCTGCTTCAAACCAAGAATTTAGAAGTTATTTTTGTCTAATCCAATTTTTCAAGTTTGTGTAGCCCTTTAGAGCCATGTCAGATCAGTCTCTTTAGGTTTACAGTTTCAATGTCTGTTCCTCCTAAAGGCTTCAGGGGAGAAATTGTCATCTTGCCTTTACTGGCTTCCAGAAACACTGTGCAGTGCTTGGCTGATAATTCCTTCCTTGCATCTCTTCAACCCCTTGCTTTCACTGATATATCCCTTCAAACAACCAAACAACTCACTCTAATCTCCTGTTTCTCTTATAATGATCTCTGTAATAACGACATTGAGCCCACCTGGAAAGTCCAGGCAACTCTTCCCATCACAAGAATCTCAATCACATCTGCAAAGTTCCTTTTGCCAACATAATGACAGGTTCCAGGGA